AAATACTTCTATTTTTAGTTTCTAATAAATTATTGGCACAATTCAGGAAGTTGCACCTTTATGGTGTGTTTAGTTGGGAGATTTGGGGAGAGATTTGAAAAGGGAAAGGGAAAATGTGTGTGAAATTTGGTAAAATGTAAGTATATTTTATTCACATTTCACCCTACCTTTTTCCCTTTCCTTTTTCAAATCTCTTCCCAAGTTTCCCAACCAAACACAGCGTTAGGGAAGTTCCTTGTTTTAAAGCGGTGAGGTTTTTAAGTAATTCACTCATAATATATTAATATTTGCACAAGCATTCCCTATTTATCAGTTGTACGATTTTATTTTTGGTCTTATAAACTTAATTTATGTGGAACATAATATGAAATTAGAATCTTACTCTCATAATTGTTTTTCTTTGTGGTCTTCTCCAGTTCTTTTTCCAAGAATTTGGTATTGTTTTAATGTGTTTGCCATTACATATACACAAAACTTAAAGAAAGGAAATTTTTTTGAACCAATGGCTATGCATGTTGCAACTGACTTTGAAAAGTGTTGGTGTTAAATCAGTGTTATTCTTGGTTGGGCAAGGGTGGTGTTGGATAAAAGTGGTTGTTATATCGGGGTTGGGAGTCCGGGACTAGCTTATTTAATTTTATTTGTTTATTTATGTTTTATTTTTTTTCACTTCATACTTGCAATTTGAACTTTTGATTTGTGGTGTTCATCTGTCAGGCCCCTCCAGTTTTGTCATCCCTTGTTTCAAAGAAAGATCAAGAGGGAGCTGGATCTGCTGGAATGAATTCCCTGAGAGCATTTGCACTTCTTGGAGCAGGTGTATCGGGGCTTTTGAGCTTCACAACGATAGCAGCTGCTGATGAGGCTGAACATGGTCTACCTTGTCCAAACTATCCTTGGCCTCACGAAGGCATTCTTAGTTCATATGACCATGCTTCGTGAGTATCTATTGAGCCTATGACATGCTTTTCAGATGCTTTCTATTGCAGTTGAATACATCTTTAGCCTGATGAAGTAGGTCATCTGTGGACTGCTTTTTAAATCATTCCGCCTATTGTTGCAACTTGTTGCAGTTTGGTTGATTTATGGTCAATCCTTGAATTGAAACTACTTAAGCCTTAATTTTCCAATTTGATAATTTCTTGTTTCACTTCTCAGTTGTGCATCTGAGAGCTAGCCATTTTAATCATAGATCACCACTTCTCTTGATAAATCAATATGAAATATTTTCATCCCATTCGCCTCTCTTAGCTTTTTTAACTACAAAACATATTTCTTCCTATTCCGCCGACAGCATGGTGCTGAAGAATTGTTTCACACATGATATCTTCTAAATAGATTCATTTCCTTTGGAACGCCATAATGCTTTTTGATTCACTTGTTTGCAGTTGTTTTACTGTTTCATGCTTCCACTAATCTTAATATGTTCAATTTTACACAAACTGGATCCGTCGTGGTCACCAAGTTTACCAGCAAGTCTGTGCTTCTTGTCATTCAATGTCCCTGATTTCATATCGTGACTTGGTGGGTGTGGCATATACTGAGGAGGAAACAAAGGCTATGGCAGCTGAGATTGAGGTCGTTGATGGGCCTAATGATGAGGGTGAAATGTTTACTCGCCCTGGTAAACTGAGTGATCGTTTTCCGCAGCCATATCCAAATGAACAAGCTGCTAGGTCTGCTAATGGAGGCGCCTATCCTCCAGATTTAAGTCTTATCACCAAAGTAAATTCCTTTATTCTGTTTTTAATTTCTTCATTTCTGTTAAAAAAGATGTAATATTATTAATTGATGTCTTACAAGATTGATAATTTCTGTATATTACAATTCCTATATATAGAGGAGAAGATGGTAGTGGAGTGTGTGATAGTGGAGGTGGTAGGTGTGGAGAAAAATAGTGGAGGTAGTAGGTGAGTGGTATAGTGGAGGTGGTAGGTGTGGAGAAAGATAGTGGAGGTAGTAGGTGAGTGGTAAATTCTAACAATTTCAAGGTTTTTTTTTGTTATTTATCTATCTCTACAGTTTCTTACTATTTGGCGTTTCAGGCTCGTCATAATGGTCAGAACTATGTATTTGCCCTTCTAACTGGTTACCATGATCCTCCTGCTGGTGTTTCAGTACGTTCTGATTTGTAGTCTCTTCTGCAACTTTCTTCTTGAACTTGTAGTATGATCAATGATGGTTTTGTATGTTCACATTTGGAGAATTTTATAGTTTGCCATCATGTAGATGCTCCATAATGATAATCACTTTGGTTAATGAATTGATACCCAAAAGGTAATAATCAAATAAAAGTAATAGGAAAAGATGAATGCAACTATGGCCAGATTTTAGAACTTTTGTCTTGAAGGCTTAGTAGCCTCTGCTGCTGTGGCAATAGCAGCACCCAAAGAATGGTCATAAATTTGTAATGGTTTGTGCTGGTCGTAGTTTTGCATGTAGGGAACTGTCTTTGTCTTTGTCTTTGTCCTCTGCTTCTTCTTATTATTCTTATTCATTGTTTGAGGTCTGGGGGGTGGTAGGTAGTTTAGCCTTTTCTGCATCATGTGGAGTGCTGATACTGTCATTTATGCAAATTAATTCATGTCACTTACAGATGGATGTCATTGTTGTGTTCCTGAGAGATTTATATCATGATAGGATGGCAGCTTTCGCCATCTATAAGTAGTGTTTTTTTATTTTTTTGGGGTCTGCATTGATATTCTGTTAGACATTAGTAGTTGGTGCATTTCACTTTTTAGATTTGGTGCATTAAAAGTAGACTTTCGTGGTGAATAAGCAGATTCAAAGGTATGCTTAAGCAGAAGCTTTCATTAGAGGCATAATACACCCCCCATCTGTTCTATTTGGTAGAACACTCCCATGTGTTTCAAGGATTGTTGGTGAAAAGAATTGCCTGTGTTCATACTGTTTCACTTATTTCCTGATTAACTTATATTTGGGTGGTTGTATTTTTTTTTTTTGTTAATTGTGAAAGTTAGGATAATACACAATAGGGTTAACCACCACAAGGTTGCTTACATTTTGAAATTGTTTTTTCTGTAAATTTGGGTAACGTTTCTTTCCATAATCAGCCAAGTTGTAATGGTATTGTAGATCCGAGAAGGGTTGCATTATAATCCTTACTTTCCTGGGGGAGCCATTGCTATGCCTAAAATGCTTATCGATGGTGCTGTTGAGTATGAAGATGGTACCCCTGCAACGTAATCTCAGGTTGGTTTCTCTCGTACTTTTATATCGTTGTGCTTATTATCGTAAATCATATGAGACAGTTAAGCTCATATTCTAATATTGGTATAGATGGGAAAAGATGTTGTGACATTTTTGTCATGGGCTGCAGAACCAGAAATGGAAGACAGAAAACTGGTATGTTGGCTTCAATATTATCACACGACATTACATTAGGAGGTAGTTAATTTCTCGTGCGTGTACTTCTCTTAATGCAGATGGGATTCAATTGGATATTTGTACTGTCATTGGCATTTCTTCAAGCTGGTTATTACAGGCGCATGAGGTGGTCTGTTCTCAAGTCTCGTAGGTTGGTGCTCGATGTCGTCAACTAGATATATCCTCTTGTGGGAGGACTTGAATTGGCAATAATTATAATTATTTTATAAAGCCAATTATGTTTTTCTGCTGTGAAGAATTTGTTCAACTTGTCCATTGGTAATGTGGGTGACCCAAAGAGTTAAGTTTTCAATTCAGGGAGAAATAAGCGACTCGTATAAACATGTGTTGTTCTTTTGGAATTTTGAACTAGTTTAGAATAGTTGTTGAATGCAGAATTTTCCTGGATAGCTTCCAGTATGTATTTGGTTGATCCTATCATTTTCAGATTGATCATTGTTGTGGTTGGTGGTGGTGAAAATAAGAGTGGAGCTTTGAACAATGTCCATGAATTGAGTTGCTGTGTGTGTGCAAGCGAAGTCCTCTTGGCCTTGTTTGAAACGGTACCACATTCTTTCTCTTGGGGACAGTATGGTGTAATTTTGTAATCGGTGAAAGCTCAAATTTTTCCCGCTTTTCTTTTCGACTGCTTGGAATATTGTTTGATTGGAAATAAGAAATTAGGAAAGCAAAATTTTCATAGTAGTTGCGGAAATAAGATTGAGTTAGAACTTTTTGTTTCTTGTTGGCGTGTCTATGTATGGGGAACTAGAGTTGAGAGAGCTTGGTGTAGTCTTATTGAACAGTAATGCTGGCCATCTCTAAAAAAATAAAAAATAAAAACCAGTTTGACTAAATAAAAAAAAATCTATTTGCTTATAAATGGATATTGATTTTAGTTTCAATTCAAGATCTATGATACCTTAGTTTTTATTTAAAAAAAGTTAAGGATATATTCAACTTTTTCACTAACTAAAGAGATTTTTTTTCAATTTTTTTTTACCAAGCACGATTTTTTTATTAAAATAAATAAATAAATAAAAATTATTAAAAAAAATCATCGCTCCTAGAACCTGCTTAAATATTGTTCCACCTTCAAAAATTTTGGAATTTTTTTTTGGCTATGATTTATAGGTTAATTTATATTTTGTTTTCAAGTATCAGTTATTTTTTTTTACTTTTAGCGCCATTGAAAATAAAATAAGCCACTTGTTAAAGGTTTTTTTTTTTTTTCCTTCAAAATTTGGTTTATTTTCATTTTTAGTTGATTTTGTTAAAAATTTAAAATCATCTAATCTAAGCGGATCTATAAAAAAATAAAAATAAAAAAGGACTCAAAATTGAATAAAAAACAAAAATACGCTGAACAAATATACCAATCTATAAGTTGTGTCAAGAAAGCTAAATATGGTTATAAAAACACGGCAGAGAGGATCAAAAACATTTGTCTTCACAATAAACCGGACTGAACTATTGTTTATAATCCTAGTTGCCAACATTTAAGTTATCCCATTCCTTTCTAGGGAATCAATCTCAACTTGACCAGAGCTGTGAGAGGGGTTTCCCCTTTTGGCATGTCGTCACACAATCCAGTACCACCTCCTGCAACTATTGCTCAACATCTTCAATGGGGAGGCAGGCATCTATGGTCTGCAAGACATTCACAAAAAAAAGAGCCTTAAAAAACGAGACACATTCACCAATCTTGACTTTAAAAACAAAAGACCATTTTTTTTTTTTTGTTATGCTAAAAAATGATATAAAGATAAATGGATCACTGTTCAAGTTTTGTCGGTATTAACATTTAATGCCTTCAATTTTTTCTTTTCCTCCATCTCACTATCATTCCATATGAAAACCAAAAAGCATTTTGAAAATATACTGCAAGACTTGATGTTAAAGCTAGAAGGTTGTGATAAACTCTGAGGTGAGACCCAAAGGATGACATCACAAGAAGTGTGTACATAGTCTCGTTAGAGTAACACCACCAGACCATTTCCATTGGCACTGGAAAACAAAACAATAAAAGAGCTATTAAAAATATGTTACCTTCCATGAGGCATCATGGAGTATCTGATATGAGCGGGCAACTTTTCTTTGAAACTCAAGCTGCTCGTATCTCTCCCCTCCATAGCCTCCTTTTTCAGCCGCTTTCTGGCAATTTCAAAAGGACTTTTCAGTTACCCTGGCTGCTGTTTTACTTGGTGGACACATATGTGCACACACAAAGGAAACTAATAAATAGACTCTCTTCATTTATATAATATGATACCACAAAAATCAGTCTTAAATAGATGACCTCAACAGCTCAATCAACAGTAATCTTATATCTTACCATATGGAATGAGGAAGGAGTGATAAATTGACCAAGGATCATCACATACTGGACCAAGAGTCCCCTAACTATGTAGCCAATTAAAGTGCCTTACACAACATCAACCAAGGACAAAGGAAGTTAAATTTATCATCAAGGACTAAATTAGCCATCAGACAAGCAGGACTTGTTGAGAAAGAGAGTGGAAAACTACTCAATCTGCAAGGTTCAATACATGGTTGTGATCTTTGATGTCATGGTACCTTAACTTCAACAACAAACTCGATAATAAAACAAATTACCTCTGGTGGTATGTCAAGATATAATACCAAATCTGGAGCGAGCAACCCCATCTCTGGTGCCTGTGTAACAACTCATTTTTCACTACCAAAAGGGAAGAAATGGCACCCAGAAAAAATAAGAAATAAGAAATAAAAAATTCCCACTTAAAAATAGTTTGAAGCATGTCTTCACCTTACACCATTCAATATCAAGTCCTTTGGCAGATGAAAAAGCCACCCCAGAAAATGAATAGCGATCTACAATTAGAGTGGTTCCACTTCTCAGTTTATTCTCCATCAAGGATCTGCAAATATATCGCAGATGATCAGTTATGACTTATAAGTCTTGACATGTCAAACATTTGCTTGTGCACAAATCAAAATCATTATCAATCACAGACTAATCCCATGAAAAGGGCACATAGGAAATACAAATCCAACATTCTAACAACTTTTTCTGTAAATAGATGCGTCTGTTGATGGAAAAAGAAAAGGCAATAATGATTATTTTATTTTTTATTTTAAAGAAAGTGAAGTTATCAAAGTAAGACTATTTTACCTTCAAGATGGCAATAAAACTCTCAAAATCTATGTGAAATTGTGAAAAGTTTGGGCTGGGACCTGGGTGCTAAACCAATTGAAGACAAATTCTACAGCTAATCCAGTCAATATTCAAATTAAGATAAGTTCTGAAAATTCAGGCCTCGTTTGGGAACAAGCTAATTTAGTAACTTTTTGGCTATTTGGCTAAAAAAGTAGGTAAAAAAAACTTGTATGTTTGGGATGACTTTTTGGCTAATTACGAAAAGATGTGCAAAAAGTAGAGAGAAAAGAGAATCTTTGACTTTTTGGTATGGGTTGTTGGCTTTTTGGCTAATTTAGTAACTTTTTGGCTAATTGGCTAAAATAGCCTCTTGCCAAACGAGGCCAGTCATTATTTTTTTAGCATTGCAAAAATGAAATTTATGCAGTGAAATGAAATTTGAATCGGGAAATAATACTAGAAAGAGCATAATAATGAAATATTTCAAAAACTAGTGTGTCAAATTAGGGGTCTGGCTGAGCCCTTGTCTTGAAAATTTAAACAAGCACTGTTCTACGTATGAGAGTAATTTTAAAATTAACAACCATTTAGGGTATAATAATCTCTCTTTATTCTTAAGTTGAACAATCGTATTTTAGTTTTGGCATTGATACTGCTCCTAGATGAAATGGGGATGGCTTCAAATTAAAGGGAATTTCCATTCTAGCACAAATTTGATTGATGTGCATTGAACTTAAAAATTCTTCATGTGAATGACAAACTACTAATAGAAGCAACATTAAACACAAATATAAGGTTTAAACTTGAGGTTCTCACAAGACCTTTGAAGAAGCAGAACGTAACATAATGCATGAGACATTAAAACGAACCTCTTTTCCCAACGATTTGCACTAAAGAGTAGATGGATTGCGTGATCATCCAACTCTGACTTGTTAGCAAGATAAGAGGAAATCATTTGCCCAACACCAGTATTTCTATCAGGAAAACGCCATGATTCAACTGAATAGCTGAGTCCCTCCAAGTAAGAAATCAGCTTTCTTGATTGTAAAGTCTTCCCACTTCGATCTAACCCTTCTAGTACAATTAAAGCACCTCTTGAATCACTTTTGTGATTATTTTCCATGTGTATTTGCCTTATTGAAGACTTGAATGGAAATTTCAAATTAAATAATGACCGTCGAGTTCCTGCTGCCCCAAAATTTCTGAACATAGCTAACAATTAGTCAGAGAGACAGACTTCAGCAATGACAATCTATCATTTGGCTAACAATCCACACAACACACACAAAGTGGTTTGTTTGGATCCTGACAAGTTTTTAGGGAAAATAAGGGAAATGATATGAATTATTTCAACAAACTTTTTCAACAGTTGGAAATGATTTCACCATTTGTCGTCTGAATCCAATGCAACGGAAGTATTTAGCTTAGCTAAGAACCTGAGGTGATATTCTTTCTTCGAAAATGCAAAAGCATAAGGATTTGACATAAAGCTTTATGTTTCTGCTCATTCCCCTTTGTTTCTCAGCAACCAAACAGAGCACACATCACATTAACACCGTGTTTGGATTGAGTGATTTGGAGAGAAAAGAAAAGAAACCAATCTCTCTTAATCTTAATCACTTGTTTAGATTAGTACACAGGAGATAAATGAGGAGAAATAAAAGAGAAAAGAAATTGAAAGATTACTAATTTTGTCTATTACAAACATTGCCCATCTAACTACAAAAGAAATAAAAACATAAAAGTTTATTTTGGTAACAAGATGGGAGAGAAACCACAATCATTTCTTTCCTTTTCTCCTCTTCTAAATGTCCAAATAGTGTGAAGTGTCCAAAAAATGAGTAAAGAGAGCATTTAAACAAGATATTCAGTGAAAGGGTGCTCACAAAGCCTTCAAAGCTGTGAGATAGCAAGCATGTGTCATTGACACTCTCAAGCCTCGCCTCCTAACTGTGATAAATTATTTTTTTTTTTAAAAAAAAACATAAATTACAATAGTTATTCCAATTGAGCAAGTTGAAGGATTAACAAACACATCTTTGGCACAGAAGACAAGCAATCTGAAAATAGAAGCTTTTTTAATTTGAAGTACCTTTGGCTGATGAACAAATTAGGGTTTTCACTGGTTATAACACAGCTTCTGAAGCCACGAACAACTACAGTCAATTCTCACTACACCAACGCCATGAAAGCGAGGTTTGGGAGGAGAACAAGTTCGCCGGAGAAGATGATCGTCGCTGGTGAAATTCTCGTCGGATTAATATTCAGATAAGATATCGGATTTAGGTTTTAAAAAAAAATAAAAAAAATGTGCCCAATTTATAAGATTCATCAAACCGGATAATTAGCGCGAACTGTGAACGGTCTGATCCGGTTTTTAATCCCTAATTGCGCGCTTTTTGAGTGGGACCCAACCCAACGATTCAGATTACTCGAAAGTCGGAACCCATCTCATCCATCGGATCTGTATCTGATAGCGAACGTTCCCAGTATCCCTAGCCGTCAGATTATTCGAAGCCGTGGAAATCAACGATCCAGATTGCTAGAAAGCCATAGGTGGAGTGGAGCACTAGTACACCCCGCTTCTCTCTCTGTCTTCTCTCTCTTTCTCACTGTATCTCTGTCCTCAATAGTTCTTCTCTTTGTTTTGATTTGTTTTGTTTTGTTGTTTTGTTGTAAAATAAGATTTTATCTGTTATGTTTTGTTTTGTGCTTTGAATTTTATCTGTTCAAATTTATTTTTTATTTTTTTGGTAGTTATTGTTGTTGATGATGATGATGAATTTGCAATCCAAATTTGTGTTGGATTTGAAATCTAAATCTATGTTGAAATCCAAAGTTGAATTTTGAATAGATAGAACATATTTGTTTTCAACAGATCTGTTACAATTGATTTTCAACAGAGCAAATAATAAATACATTCAAACATGGTGGAAAATTGAACAGATATACAAAAAATTGGATAGATTGACAAAAAATTGCATAGATAGAATTTTATTTAGACAAATATTTAAACAGATAAGGGAAATTTGAATTGAAAAGGTTAAAAAAAATAAATAGACAGGGTAAAAAAAATTGAACAGATAGGAAAAAATTTGAATAGATAATCAATAAAAAGTCAAACAAATAAAAAAAAAAGTCAAGGTGTAAAATTGGAAACAAAATATCCTAAGAGATTTCTCATCAAACTATTTCACAAAACGTGAACCTCTCACCAACAAAAAATATGTACTGGATCTAATGCCTTATACATTCTCTAAATTGGATTTATCACCAATTTTCTTTTGTATTTATTTGTTTATTTTTATTTATCTTTATTTGTTTATTATTTACTATTGATTATTATTTTTATTTTTATTTTAAAATTGTTAAAATTATGGTGTCAGCAATAACAAATTAAGATTTTAAAATTAAAAATTTGAGAACAAAATAATTTTTTAAGAGTGTTGCTATTAGCATCCCAATTAATACTTTGAATCATCTATCTTTTTCGGACTCCACCAACAAAATTCAAAACCCTAAAAATTTCTAAGAATCCCTCAAATAATATCAAAATATCCTTCTAAAAATATCACACCCACCAAAATGCACACTCCCTTAAATACCTTTCATCTCCCAAAACCCTTAACTATTAAACTCTCATCATTGAACTCAAGTTTCCTCTCATAGTCAACTATTGAACTCTCACCGTTGAACTCAAGCTTCCTCTCACCATTGACAGAGCTTCGCCATCAATCTATTTCTGCTATCGATCTCTATCATAAGCTATCTCTCACAGCCAACTTCCTCCGCCATTGACCTCTTTCTGTCGTTGATCTCTTTACCGCCATATTGTCAAACAAATTACACATGTTCGGACTTGTGTTACCGAATAATATGTACATGTTCAGACCTGTGTTTGAACATTATAAAAATGTAAAGTTCTATGTCTGTGAACAAGTTTGACTCATCAAAATTTAACAAACAAAAATAAGTATGCATCAGCTAGTTGGATTAACAAATAAAACTAAAGTGTTAGACTTATTTATTTTGATGATTTACTTAATTATATTTTTAATTTATTTGGAAGAGAAAAATAGAATCAAAATTTATTTTGATGATTTATTTGAAAGAGAAAAATAGAATCAAAATTTATTTTTTCCCATTATTTCTCACCTAAACCTTTATCCTAAATGTTGTTAGAATATATTTAATATTTGATTAGATCAGGAGTTCAAACAGCCCAAAATAAAGGTTCAAACAACCCAGCACAACAGCAGTTCAAAAGGTTCAAAACATTCAAATGGAAGATATTCAAATTAGTAATGGTAGAATACAATAGCTATAAACGGCTATAAATTCCAATGAATACAACGGTTATAAACGGTTATAAGTTTCATTATATATACCAAAGCCTCTAATACAAACAATTTACAAAAAAATCAGAAAATATTTTTTGATCTACAATCACTCACATCTATTCTCTGAAAATTTTTCTAAGAAGTGTTATTCAATTTTTGTTTACATCCTCTCTCAGAAATTATACACTGAGCCTTATAGCATTAAGTTCATCTTTCCTGTGTGAGGTTTACAGAAAATTCAAGGCTTCATTTTTATATCTATATTTGAGAGATAATTCTTGTAACTTTCTGTGAAAGCAAAAACACTTTCTTTTCAACCTTATAAGAGTGTAGTACACTCAGTGTTCTTGACTTAGAAAGTCAATGTAAAATCCGTAGAAGATTACTCCATTTGTAAAGAGGTTGTTAGCACCGCTATGAAGCTAGAGTATAGTGGAAAATCTCAAGTGAAGCTTGAGAAGTGGACGTAGGCCGAATTGAAACCGAACCACTATAAATTTATTTGCCTCTCTCTCCCTTATCTCTTTATTTTATTTAAATTGCGATAGCTATATTTCACATTTTCACTGTGCTAAAATCATTAACTGACATAGTTGTTAGAACACATTTTTTTAATTATTTTTATCTCATTAACTATATTTATCTATTGTGCTAGTCATAATTTTTATTAGGGTATTATTATTTTTATTTGTAAAAACCTAATTCACTCCCCCCTCTTATGTTGTCTTTTGGGTAACAATTGGTATCAGAGCCTAGACTCTTATTTTAGATTTAATCATCTAGGAGTTTCGATCCATGGCAACCCTAGCTGAAGGACAAACCATAAATAGGCTACCATTGTTTGATGGAAACAACTATAGTCATTGGAAGGATAAGATGACTCTATACCTACAAACCACTGATTATGCCATATGGATTATTATCACCAAAGGTCCAAAAATTCCTACCAAATTAATAGACAATATTAGTGTACCTAAAACTGAAGATGAATGTGATGAGAGAGATCATAAATTATTGCAAGCCAATGCTAAAGCCAAACTCACCCTTGTTTGTGGATTAGACTCTAAGGAGTATAATAGAATTTCAAGTTGTGATTTGACAAAAGAAATTTGGAACAAACTTGAGGTAACGTATGAAGGTATAAACCAAGTGAAGGAATCTCGTATTGATATGCTTGTTCATAGTTATCAATTATTTAAAATGAACTCTGATGAATCTATTTCAAGTATGTTTACTAGATTTACTAAAATTGTAAACTCTTTGAAATCTCTTGACAAAACTTATACTAATAGTGAGTTGGTAAGAAAAATTCTTAGGTGTTTACCAAAGAATTGGGAAGCAAAGGTCACGGCTATTATAGAAGCCAAAAATCTCTCCACACTTGGATTGGATGAGCTTATGGGTTCCCTTATGACTCATGAGATCACCATGAAAGGACATGAGAATGTTAAAAACAAAAAGAAAAGTGGAATTGCATTCAAAGCTTCATCAAATGAAGAAGAACATGAAAACTCCAATGAGGATGAAAGTTATGCTATGTTTAGTAAAAATCTCAAAAAGCACTTCAAGAAAAACAATTATAGAGGAAAAAGACCTTTCAAGAAAGAGTACAACAAAGATAACAAGAAAGAGCCTATTATTTGCTATGAGTGCAAAATCCTAGACATATGAAAATGGATTGTCCAAAATTGAAGAATCATGGAAAATACTACAAAAAAAAACAAAAAGGCCATGGTAGCAGCTTGGGGAGAAAGTGAAGACGAAAGCTCAAGTGATGAAATTGAAAATGAAATAGCCAACTTATGTCTCATGGCTCTTGAAGATGAAAACTCTACTCAAGTTGAGGTAACTACTCTTTATGAAGAACTTGAAAGTGCATTCCATGAACTACAAGATGAATTTAGAAAAGTTTGTGCCAAAAATAATGTGTTGAAGAAATCTGTTGCGTCTTTATCTAGTAATGTAGAAGAATTAAAGAAAGAAAAAATTGTTTTGAAAAATGATTTTGACACCATCTCTACTGAGAAAACTGCTTTAAAAAACAATGTTGATGATTTAACAAAAACACTTGAAAATTTTGTAAAATGTAGAAATAATCTCAGCATGCTTCTTGGAAATCAAAGATGTGTTTTCGATAAAGCGAGCATTGGATATGACCTTATTAAGAAACAAAAGAATCTTAACACAATTTTTGAAAAGACACCTCTCATGACACACCCTCATATTACTTGTCATTATTGTAAAAAGAAATGTCATTATATATTTTATTGTCTATTCAAAAAAAATAGGATCATGAGAATTAAAAAGATTTGGATTATTAAGAAATCTAACAAAACTAACTAAGAAGGATCCAAGAAATTATGGATACCAAAAACCAACATTTGATTGTCATGTTATAGGTTTGCTTTAAGTCCAAAGCTAAAAAAGAGAAGTGGTACCTTGATAGTGGATGTTCCAGGCAAATGACCGGAGATAAATCCTTGTCTATTCAAAAATAATATAAACATGAGAATTAAAAAGATTTGGATTGTTATGGGATCTAACAAAACTAACCAAGAAGGACCCAAGAAACTATGGGTACCAAAAACCAACACTTGATTGTCATCTTGTAGGTTTGCTTTAAGTCCAAAGCTAAATAAGGAAAGTGGTATCTTGATAGTGGTTATTCCAGACACATGACTGGAGACAAATCCTTCTTTACTACACTGTCATCCAAAGATGGAGGCTTTGTTACTTTTGGAGACAACAAGAAAGGAAAAATCATCAATATTGGTAGCATCGGTATTTCTCCTAACCCTTCTATTGAAAATATTTTACTTGTTGATAGACTTAAGCATAATCTACTTAGTATTAGTCAATTATGTGATAAAAGTAATCGAGTTATTTTTGATAAATCACATTGCACAATTGAGAGCACAAATGATCATAAAGCTTTATTCGTTGATAATCATCATGATAATATTTATGTTTTTCATCTCAATGATCTCTATGCTAGTGATGTTAAATGTCTATATGTTAATAATGAAAATAGTTGGTTATGACATAGAAGACTTGGTCATGCTCATATGGATTTAATTGCTAAACTTTTGATAAATGATTTGGTCATTGGACTTCCAAAAATTAAATTTGAAAAAGATCATCTTTGTAGTGCTTGTCAACAAGGAAAACAAACTAAAACATCGTTTAAATCAAAATCTCATTTCCACAACTAGACCTTTACAACTACTGCATATGGATTTATTTGGTCCCTCAAGAACATCTAGTCTAGGTGGTAAACATTATTGTCTTGTTATTGTTG